TAGACGTGTGACCTGTTGTATGACGTGTTCAGAGACCAGGTCTTCAGTTCGGAGCGGCTCAGTCGTACCTGAGTCTGGAGAAACTTGGCGAGGGAGCGTACGCCTCAGTTTACAAAGGCATCAGCAGGTGAGCATCAACAGAAGCTTTAAATAATGTGATGTAAATTACCCATCATCCTCTGCCTTTACTGCTCAATGCAGATTCACATTTACACAGCAGGGGGCGTAGTTGCTCTACTAACCAGGATTTAACAGCTGCTGTTTAAATGATTCAAATAATCAAACATCACGTGATGAGTTAAAGAAATAAACTTGTGTATTAATGTGTATGAGCTGATGTTTCTTCTCCTGTGGAGGATTAACGGCCAGCTGGTGGCGCTGAAGGTCATTCGTATGAAGACAGAGGAGGGCGTCCCATTTACTGCCATCAGAGAAGGTGACCGATCAGATCTTTACATCATCTGAGTCATCTTAAAAACTCTCATTCATGTGTGTGTGTGCAGCGTCTCTTCTCAAAGGTCTGAAACATGCTAACATCGTCCTCCTTCATGACATCATCCACACCAGAGAGTCGCTGACGTTTGTCTTTGAATACGTGGTGAGATTTAAACACTCTGAGCTTTCAGTTCAGTCACATGATCTTCACCCGCTCAAGAAAACATGTTCATGGTGATGATGCCCGACTCTTCTCCTCCTCCAACTCTTCTCACAGCAGACGGACCTGGCTCAGTACATGAACCAACATCCTGGAGGTCTTCACTCTCATAACGTTCGAGTACGAAACGAGTCAGACAACAAATATCTTTTCACTCAAAGTGAATCATTTTAGATTTGATAATAAAAATCCACCCTAACCAGATTGAAGTCAAATAAGTAAACTGTCTGCAGTGCTGTCTGTCACCAGCAGGTGTTGCTGTTTGACTACATAAACATGTTTGTGCAGATCTTCATGTTCCAGCTGCTTCGAGGTCTCTGTTACATCCACAGTCGCAGGATCCTCCACAGAGACCTGAAGCCTCAGAACCTGCTCATCAGTTACCTGGGAGAACTCAAACTGGCCGACTTCGGTGAGCCAAGGCCCCGAGCTTTTTAATAGTCACATAAAACTTTTACTTACTGGACCTGACTCTGGTTCTGGATCTGGCAGGTCTGGCTCGGTGTAAGTCCATCCCCAGTCACACGTTCTCGTCTGAGGTGGTGACTCTGTGGTACCGCCCCCCCGATGTGCTGCTGGGATCCACCGATTACTCCACAGCACTCGACATGTGGTGAGTCCTGCAGCTGATCTGAGTTTCAAACTGTCGTCAACATCAGCGTGGATCAATAAAGCTATCCTCTATGAATCAGGGGGGCCGGGTGTATCTTCATCGAGATGCTGCAGGGGGCGCCGGCGTTCCCAGGGGTCACTGATGTGTTCGAACAGCTGCAGAGGATCTGGACGGTATCTACAGAACTAACCCAACTACTAATAACTGCTACTGATGATCACAACAATACAAAGTTATATTTGTCTTCAGGTGCTCGGTGTACCCTCTGAGGACTCGTGGCCTGGAGTCAGTCTGCTACCTAATTATAAACCAGGTGAGTTAACCCCGCCCACCATGTCCCAACAACACGGCGAGCCAGAGACAGGTGCCGCTGGTCCTTCTGCTTTCCTATTGGGAAACTCTCAAAGCATCATGGGAAATGTTGTTCTGACAGTATATTCTGTAGCTAAGTCATTTAGCCTGTTTGCTAATGCCACGTTCTTGTTTTCCATCTTCAGAGTGGATTCATCTGTCGGACCCCAAACAGTTCAGGACTGTTTGGAAAAGGTGAGCTGTTCTGGAAAACAGTGACCCAACTAAAAGTGTGGCTAAGTGTTAGCATAATGTTAGCATAAAGCCTAGCTTACTTATTGGGCTATTGTTGCAGCATTTTCTATTTCACAAGAGAGTTTGTCACCATGGACACACTCAGTCCAGTGTGTACAAAACTGTAAGCATGGACTAACTTGTGAACGCCAACGTACACATATTACATGTATGATCATATGTTTAAATGCCACATAGATACTAACAGAGCCTAATGCTAAAGGGCTCAGTAGTCAGTCTGTGTTGATCTGGATCAGGCTGAACCAGTTGCCCTATAAGACCGAGGACTTGGTCCAGAGGATGTTGAAGAGGGTCCCTACAGATCGGATCTCTGCCCAGGAGTCTCTGCAGCACACGTACTTCAGCACGCTACCTCCTCCCATCATGCACCTCAGAGACAGTAAGGACATGCTATCATGACAACATGCTAACAAAACACTACCTCCTCCCATCATGCACCTCAGACAGTAAGGACATGCTAACATGACAACATGCTAACAAAACGCTACCTCCTCCCATCATGCACCTCAGAC